TATAATAAGAAAACTAGTGTCGAAGCTAGTAGCATCTCTGAATACGTTACTGGATAAATCCTCAAGGGAACATTTCACGATTGCAAATACACCATGTTAACGAGTTCGAAAATGCGGAAGATTTTATGCCGTAATTTATCACCTATATACGCTGCTCTCAACTACCAAACATTATTTTAAAGTGTATTGCAGGGCTAAGTGTTCCAGCTAACTAATAACATTAAAAACCTCGTAGTAGGTACTCATAACTTGAGTTTCTGTAGATAGTTGGATTAATTCCAGTGTAGGTTTCATCGCGAACCAGTACATCATAAAGAGATCACTGGAAATCGCCCTTGTTCAGGAATCTTCAGCAGCGTTCACCCACAACCTCATCACGAGTCAAACCTAAGATATTTAGGTTATAAGACCAAGCTATTAAACCACTCAGCCACTTGACAAGGAGTTCAACGACACATGAATCCTATCTTCCGTCAACTGGTGATATAGAGTTACCTTCAACTAATGCCTTCGAAAAGCATCCACAACACCTTGACATGATGGACTTTGCAGGCCACGATCTCTTAGTACAACTCAAGGATAACCATCCATTAGCCATCACAATGGAAGGAGAATGATATTTACATCATGGATTTCCGTAAACAACTGGACTAATTCCAGTGTAGCTTTTTTCACAAAACAACAGAAGCTAGAGACCACTGAGAACCAGGGAGTTATGGACGGAGACTAGGTGAAATAATAGAAAATCCATGTTTAAATAAGAAAAGACCACTTCGGTAGAAGCTTTCCTGATCCTGGTCCACTTCCCGTAGTATACTGTCGTTCTCTACATTCCACCTGGTCGCCCACTTCAAACAGCTTCCAAGCTTTGATTTGTTTCTTGCCATAATTTTCGATGTCTATCTTTCACTTCTCTTGTATATTCTGAATAGCTTGTTTCCGCTCACTTGTCCATCTCTTACTGCTCCATTTTTGTTGTTGTTGCCAAGTCTTATGGTGCACTGGAAAGCGTGGTTTCCTCCCATACATCAGCTGGAAAGGCGATTTTTTGTTGTCCCTTGTATTGTGGCACGATGTGCTAGTAATACCAACGGTAAGTCAGTTTCCCAGTTGCCCCATTTCGCAGGTAGCCATTCCTTGAGTGTACGATTCCATTATTACTACGGTTATTATTAGTATTCTCCCTTTGAAGTGTTTCCTATAGAATTTCACTTTTCCCATTTATCTTTCTAAATCGATTGTTTTTCCACGATGTTGAATTCTGTCATCATTCTAATCAACTTTCACACCATGTCATGTAACGTTCTATATTTGTCTACTAACCCTATAATTAAACACCTTTTTTTCAACACACGTACATCCTTTGTTTTGCCACTTGACACTTGATATTTGACTACGATTATAATAATAAACATTTTAATTGCATTTCATACTACCACTATTACTACTATTATTATTATTATTATGATTCTATTTATTCACACGTATGATTACACTTCCACACTGGATATATATATATATGTTCAGTCGTGTCTGTATATATACGATTGAACAGCTCGATCGTAAATTCGTTGGAAAGAGTCTCTTCACTTAAAACTGTGTTATGAATGTTGTTATGTGAATTATTATATTTTCAAGTATTGGTTTTGTCGGGATTTTGTTTGATTGGATGCAGGATTTCATCATGGGCTCACATCACTTAGAGAACCATTGGAAAACCTGCATAGAGTACTGGACAACTGTTTCGTCCTAGTTTGGGACTCTTCACAGTACACACCCACCAAGGTTCAAACCCAGGACCTTCTGGTTACAAGGCCATCGAGCTCGTAGACCATTCACAGCCACTGGCACCTGACCCAATCCAATGGCCAGCCAGCCTATGAATTCTAACGTCCGCCAATTCACGATGTATCGTGACCATTTCAAAATATCTCCTTCAATGAGTTACTGCCTCACCTTCAATCTGCTTCACCTTACTGTTCACGGCTTCCCCCTAGATGCCCAGATCACTGCCTGGTTTGAAGATGAGGCAGTAACTCATCGAAGAAGACATTGAGAAATGGTTGCGATATGTCGTGAATTGGCAGAAGTTAGAATTCATTGGCCGGTTGACCATTGGATTGGGTCCCAATGGCTGGTGAATGGTCTACGAGCTCGATGGCCTTGTAACCAGAAGGTCCTGGGTTCGAAACCCGGTGAGTATGTACTGTGAAGAGTCCCAAACTAGGACGAAACAGATGTCCAGTAGTCCCTGCAATGGTTTCCAATGATTCTCTAACTGATGTCAGCTCATGATGAAATCCTCCATCCAATTATGATATTACTGGGAAAATAATACCGCCTACTATTCAGTGATCAAAATGTTATCGTTAGTGTAGGCAGTTGATTAAAATGTCACATTTGCTTATTCACCTCATCGGTATTCCAGAATGACTCAACTTTTTATAATTAGTAATTATTCTATAACTACAGAATAATGTTAATAAAAATATAGTTCAGCTCAAACAGGTTCTTTTCAGTGAATTCATTTACCTCTTTTGGCTGTACAATCGCACTTATTTAGTAGCAAAAGTGATGAGTTGTCACAAACATAATGGTCAATCAAGTGTTGGTTTACAGGGGTTTGTTTTTGATGAAAGGATTCCATCATCATGAGTTGACATCGGCTAGGGAACCATTGGAAACCTTTCAGGGAGCAGTGATTATCTAGGAAGTCATGACCAATGGAGTACAACAGTTCGAGTGTGAGGACAAATCCTCATCAGTAGCGCTATATCCTGCGTGAATAAGCAGACGTTGGAATACACTGCCTGACCACTGGATAAGGTTACAGTGGCTGAGTGATCTATGAGCTCGCCTTGTGACCAGGAGGTCCTGAGTTCAAATCTCACTGGGTAGATACTTCTGAAGAAACCCAAACTAGGACGAAACATCCGGCTGTCTAGTACTCTATACAGGTTTTCCATCCTATGTCAGGTCATGACAAAATCCTATAACCAAATAGTTGTTAGTATTATTCAATGCATAAAAGAAGTTCAATGAAAGAGCTACGTGGTGATGTGTGGTGAATAATTCAACAATTGAGTTGTAGTCACAATGTACATACAAACGCCTATAATCATGATGACAACCCTTTTGATTTCTACTCACTTGAGTTTTGTTTACTTGTTCTCCTAACTCCTTATAACTTTTGTATTTCTTAAGAACATCAACGTAATGCCTTTTTTTTCTCTTGTTTCAATATGCGTCCTGATTACAACTCATTCAGTCATTATATTATTCATCTTATTATATGAGTCTATATGAGTCTAATACACTTATTCAACTCCTCTTATCCAGTGACTAATAATATTGACAACTATGATTGTAACAGCTCATCACTTTTGTTACTACCCTCTCTGTATGTGAATTCGATGGTACAACTAAAGAGGAAAATAACTTCTTACGAGTTCATAACGGATTAATATTACATGGAGGATTTCATCATGAGCTGATATCAGTTAGAGAACCAGGGACTACTGGACACCTGTTTCATACTAGTTTGGAACTCTTTAGCAGAACGCACGCACCGAGGTTCAAACCCAGGACCTTCTAGTTACAAGGCCATCGAGCTCGTAGACCATTCACCAGCCACTGGCACCTGACCCCATCCAATGGCCAGCCGGCCCATGAATTCTAACTTCTGCCAATTCACGATATATCGCTAGCATTTCGCAGTATCTTCTTCGATGAGTTACTGCCTCATCTTCAGCCTGCAGTACCTTACTGTTTACGGCTTCCCATTATAACCCCAGTACCGTTGGACTGGGTTCCATTGGCTGGTGAATGGTCTACGAGCTCGATGGCCTTGTAACCAGAAGGTTCTGGGTTTGAAACCCGGTGGGTGTTTACTGTGAAGAGTCCCAAACTACAATGAAACAGTTGTCCAGTAGTCCATGCGGGTTTTTCAATTGGTTCTCTAACTGATATCAGCTCATGATGAAATCCTCCATGTAATCAAACAAAATCCCTACAAAACCGATACTTGAGGATTAATATTAGTTAGAGAACCATTGAAAATTAGCACTGGAGTACTAGTTTGCGAATCATCGGCAGTACGCACCCATCATATGGGGTTCGAACACAGGACCTTCCCGTTACAAGGCAAGCTGGCTCCTATACCATTCAGCCACTGGGACTCAATTCAGTGCCCACTGCATGAATTCTATCTTCTAACTTAGCGAAGGTGAAACAGCCGTCCAGTACTCCAGTGCTGGTTTTCAATGGTTCTCTAACTGATATCAATCCGTGATCAAACTCCTAAATACAAAACTGATTCTTACAAACCAACTATAGAAAATGAGTTCTCCGAAACGTGTCTCTTAGAGCTGAATTACGTGTTCTGTTTTCATTTATTTCTGACCGAGTATGATTCATGAATTAAAGAATATGATATCAATGTAGACAGAAGTCCTAACTAATTGGTGGCTGGTGACTAGCAGTGGAATCCAGGATAATGCACATTTCGTCTTGTTTGGAACTCATCATCTGGATGTACCTGCATTCCGCAGTGAGTGGTAACCGAGCATTTCGGTCCAGTCAATCGATGGGAAAATCTAAAATTGAATTAAATAATTAATATGATCCGTTGCAAAAGAAGCAGGTGGCTCTCGTGGCCCAAGTGGTCCAGTGGATAACGCCTTGGCGTTTGAAACTATGAGCCTCAGTGGGAACATCATCACTGACTCACTGGGGAATGCAGGTACATCCAGCCGAAGCGAGTCCCAAATAGGACGAAATGCGCATTATCCTGGATTCCACACTGCTAGTCATCATCCATTAGTTAATGTAGGCAGAAGTCTCAATTGTCTGAATCGTTTGTATTCCATGGTAAAAATAGTAATGTATAACAGAAAATATTTTAGCCAATCAGAATAAAATAACTGTCCAGTAATTTGATTGGTCAATTATTTACTGTTTACTTAATTAATCTGTAATACTATGTGAGCGGTATTCTGTGCATTTCTCTACGTGACTAATGAATTACAACTCTCTATTAACTTTTTCATATAAATATGTTTAGAACTAGCGGTTTCATAGTTGTCATCTATGTACATTTCTTAAATTGTTGATTTTTTGTTGTTGTAACCTTGAAGGACTTGTCCAACAGTTTACATTATTATTTCTAATAGAATGCCGTCAATACCTCCACTGTTATCATCAATATTATCATTATTATTATTGTTATTCAGTGTCGTTAACTCTCAGACAAATTTTACAGCCTATATTAATGTCGAATTATCACATGGTGGTATAATTCGTGGTGTTGAAGAGACTGTTAATAATGATGGAGTGCCTATTCGCGTGAATCGTTTCTTAGGCATACCATACGCACTACCGCCAATTGGCAAATTAAGATTTGCTCCACCCATAGAACATCCCGGCTGGAATGGTATACGTGATGCTATTCAACCATCAGCCACCTGTTGGCAGTATATATTCACTGGATTCGATGCAATTAATCCGGCGGGTAGAATGTGGATTAATAATACAGAAATGAATGAGGATTGTTTATACCTGAATGTATGGCAACCGACAAACAGTGTCAAGTCTAGACAACCACTTCCTGTTATGGTATGGATATATGGTGGAGGATTTACATCAGGCAGTGCTAATCTCCAGGTATACAATGGTGCAATACTTGCAGCTACACAAAATGTTATCATTGTCTCAATGCAATATCGTGTCGGGGCATTTGGATTCCTACGCTTAGATCCTTCGTTAGACAGCGATAATAACAATAATAATAATAATAACACTACCAACAGTACATCAAGTCTGTCAGATAAAGAGATTGCCTTAGGTAATCAAGGTATATTAGATCAATATATGGCATTATTATGGGTTAAAAATAACATTGAACGTTTCAATGGAGATCCTAATCAAGTGACAGTATTCGGTGAATCAGCTGGTGCTGTCAGTATATCAATTCTCTGGTTATCACCATTAGTTCAACCATATTTTAAAAGAGCTATTCTACAATCTGGTAGTTTATATGCTAGATGGGGATTAGATGAACCGTATGAAGCGCATGAGAAGGCAGTTGAGGTGAGTTCATATCCTACTTTATTCTTATACATATATATAGAGAGAGAGACCATTTATTAATATGTATAAGCCCCATCGATTAGTTTAATTTAACACATCGTCTTTTCAACGGATATCTCATGTTAATATTATTCATCCTGGACAGTTTCGCCTTCCTTAGAACATGGAGACACTTTTCAAGGGTGATGACAGACTGATACCAGTTAGAGAACTTCAAATGAACTTTCGTCAAAATTTGACAGAATAGTTCTAAAATATTTGGGCGCCGAGTGAGAAGTAGACATTTGTAAAAAAATTATATTTGTAAAATCTCAGCGAGATTGAAATGAGTAATTCCAACGTTTCGTTCGGCAATCTGGTCCGAACTTCTTCAGGGAAATTAAGAGAGATGTACTTTTATATATAAACATACAATTTTATTTATTTATATATTATACATGTTGATGCCTGTTGCATGATTCATGATTGGACAAAGTTTAAAAACATGAGTTGTTCCTTTTATATATAAACCTCTGTTATGTTAATTCGATTAATTTCCCTGAAGAAGTTCGGACCAGATTGCCGGACGAAAAGTTGGAATTAATCATTTCGATTTCGCTGAGATTTTACAAATATAATTTTATAAATATTCCGTCCTATGTTTGAGATTCTTGAGGCAGTATGCATTCCCTAAAACATTCTGGTTACAAGGCGACCGCGTAGACCATTGAAACACTTACCCATGAATTCAAACTTCTACTAATTCATTACACGTTGTGTTGCGACCGACCAGCCAGCGTCATCAATGAGTATTTGTGTGTGCACCCTACTGTTCACGACGTCTCACTAAAAGCAAAAAGAACTCCCGGCAACTTTGTCCTATGATCAGTCACTGGCTACATGTTTTGTATATTTAATTCTACTTTCAAATCGTGAGAAAAACCTCGGTCAGAAAAAGATCGCTTTTCGAATATTTCATCTACAAAAGCTGTAAAATCCTTTGTTTTATACATAAGATCATATTCCTTACAATTGTTGCTTAGTTCACCATAGTAACGAAAGGAGGTTAAAAGTCATTACAGTTTTTTCAACTTAACATGGAAATTTGAAAGTTTGAGTATAGATTACAAGGGGTATGGAAATAAAAACTACATAGGATTAGAAAAAACACTTGTGTAATATTTAAATTCATTCGTAGAGAAGATAAGTGTGAACAGAATGAGCATAGTAGATGAAAAACTGGGGGGAGGGTGGGGAATGAAAAAAGAAACGATATCTAAAGATCTAAAAGGAGCTAGATCCATGATAAATGTAGGGGGGGTTGCTATAGTTTCTTTTGAACATGCCTCCAGCTTCTCGACACATATGTAGAAGGCCTTTAATCTGCATTCGTTATTATGTTAAACTAATTATGTGACCTTATACATAAAAACGATACTATTGTACAGATGTTTGCGATGCAACACCCGAAAGGACATCTTTACTAAGAAGGTTGTTGTAATTTTACCTTCATCGAAATAGGACAAATCAACCGACAGTTTGCGGACAGAGGTAGATGTCTTTCAAGTTCCATCGGAGAATCAGGGTTTTTCTTTCCTTAGCGGTAAGATAATTATTTGAGGGGATGAAGCTGCAGGCCTTCCTTCTTTCCAGACTTAAGGGGGGGCGGCAAGTTAACTCAGCGGTTTTAACAAATATTCAACTGCTAGAGAAGTTTTTTTTAAATCAGTGAGCTCCAAACCAGACGCAACCGGAATCCCGGATTCAATGGGTAGCCAACCGTAAAACTTTCTTCTAGGCTAATTTGTTTGTTAAAAAAATCTCAACGATTTAGTATTCTCTTAATATATGTGTAGAAATTGGGCACTGTGGTAGTGAATGATTTCATATTAGTTTCTTTATTAGAAAGTAGTAATATCATAATAGTTTGTTTATTGGATGTATCACACAGTGAAACAGTATTATTACATACTGGATGACAAATATAAGAACAATCTATTATTGTTCATAATCATATCGCCAATTATAATCACACGACTTCGAAACTTGAGTTTTATAGTTTTCTCTGTTCCCTCCTATTTGTCGTCGTTAGGGTAGTAGAATTTTCCAGATATCTGGCTGGACAGGTGTTGAATCATTCTTATTACACGTATTTGCAGTTGATTCGATAAACCAGGCTTCCGTTATCAATCTCTCCCTCCACCCTGCTGTTGCATTAGATTTTAAAACTGTCATCCTATTGTGTGGTTGTGTGTAATTGCATGTAGTGAGCGCTATAGCTGAACTATTCACTAGATTTCTTATCTTATTCGGGTCAACCAATCTAGATTTGGGTGGGTTTTTATGTTCGGCTAGTCTGACTGCCCCTGTTCCACTACTTTGACATATGTATTTGACCTGATAATCATTGCAGACAGGGCATTAGATAAACTAAATTGTTTTGTTTTGAAGGCTCCACAGGATCGATCGTTTAACCGACAAAGCTTGTTTCTAATTGAGTTTGTGAGTAGTTTGAGTGCCAGTCACTTTTATTCCTGCCTTGTTCAAAATTCTGCGTAAGGTTTCCGAGGTTCCTTCTTTGTATAGAATTACTACTGATGATTTAGATTCCTTATTGTTGGTGTTCTCTTGCCCCTATTTGACATGCATGCCGTCATTAGTAATATTATTATTATTTTTACATTTCCCTACATACTTTCTGACTTGTGTATCAGGGTGATTATTAAGTTTCAAAGCTTCTCTTATATGTAGCACTTCCTGTCTTAGATTTTTCTTGGTACTACTTAGTTTTTGTGCTCTGTCACTTAAACATTTCACCAATCGTATTTTTTACTGACATAGGATGGGATGATTGGAAATCCAAATATCTGTTTGAATGTGTGGGTTTTCTGTAAACACTATTGTTTAACTTCCCATCTTCTTTCCTTTTTACGCTAGAATTGAGCATTGGAAGTCCCCCTTCCTGACTTTCCAATTCATAAGTGAATTGAATTGCCTCCATCTTTGATTTAATGTGTTCGAAAAATCTATCCATATCCTGTGTTCTATGGACCGTGAATGTGTCATCTACATATCTCCACCATACTTATGGGGAGGGGGTGAACGTTTCAATCGTTATGTTGTCCCACCTATCCATGAGTATATCTGCTACAACCAGAGATATTGGTGGTCCCATGGCAACTCCCTCAGTTTGTTTGTATATTTTCCCTTGGAATTTAAATACTGTGGAAGTCAGGCATAGCTGTACTCCCAGCATTATGTCCTCAAGAGGCACTTTAGTCCTAAGTTCGAGTTCTTGGTCAGAAATGAGTTCGTTTTTGACTGCCTCCATAGCCATATTTATTGGTATACGTGTGTATGAACTGACAATGTCAAAACTAACCATTTTTTCTTCATTATCTAATTTTAAATTATCTAATCTATGTTTTAGTTCATAAGAATTAGTTAGTCTAGATTACGAGTGGATTTTAAGGGGATTTAATACCATGGCTAAATATTTAGATAATTCATAAGTAGGTGAATTTCTAAAATCAACTATAGGCCTAATAGGGTGTCCTGACTTATGAACTTTAACAACACCATACATCCTACTGGGGTTATTAGTTTTGGGCATTAAATTAAACCATTTAGACGCATCTACAAACAGCTTCATTCGGCGTATAAGCTCCTCTGTGGATTTCTTAACCTTATTCATAACGGTGTCTATTAGCTTATTAATTTCCTCATATGGTCCTGTTTGTATGTGAGTATTCATCTTGTCCACATAGTCTGATTTGTCTAATACTACGATTGCATTTCCAGTGAATAATACTGTTTCACTCTGTGATACATCTAATAAACAAACTAATTTGGTATTCTCTTGTTTGTCTCCACTTTGGTAAAATGAAAATTTTTTTCCAATCAAATAGAAAGTTTAACTGACCATTTCTTGTGTCCGTAAGCCTTCTAAATTTATATTCTCTCTTTTTGGGTGCTTAAGAGAAACTGTTGTATCCGCGAGTGAATCAATTTCCACTGACTCTACATCTAAACTGCTATATTAGAAAAACAAAATGATAACTTTGATAGTGTGGAAAATTTCCATATTATGAATTAAAAGTCAATCTGAACGAAGAATATTCTTTTCAATAGTTTCCCCTCTTCAGGTTCTTACAATTATAAAATATAATATTTATTGTCGTTCCAATAATGATAGCCAGTTATGCGGTGGATACATTTATTTTTACGTAGAATAACAGATTAGCACTTATGAGGTGTCAGAATAAATAGTCGCATTTGTGTGACAAACGTGCCCTGGGCTGAAATCGATTACAAAATATTGTAAAATGAGAGACGATGGTGGTGGTGATTAGTCATAATAGATTTGTAGAGTGTGGGATAGGAAAAACTGACAAGTCAGTTCAAGGTTATAAAAGGTGTCAGGTGAGTGGAGTGGTTAGTACAAAGTGGTATGTATTAAAGAGGAGGAGATAGTAAGACTGCAATGAGAGGTTCATCATGAAATAACGAATGTGTGAAATGAAACAGGTGGAGGCATATATTGAGAAAAGAGATAATATCACTAATAATAATAAGTTTGGATAGTTTAAACGAAAAATTGTGGTAGTATTGAGAGAATTATGAAGGGCGTAAATTATGACGAATAATAATAATATTAATAATAACAATAATTGTAATAATAATATTTGTAATAATAAGCAAAGAAAAAACCAAGAGGGTTAAGGGGAAGGAACACTATTGGTGAGAAGAAGAATCATCAATCCAAGTTTGGCCACGGTAGGAACAGAGTCTAGACGTGTTCTTTTTGGATACAAAGTTCCGGTTTATTCGATCTTATTGCAACAGCTTCAGCTATGTGTAGGAGACGTAAGCGAACTGTACGTGATAACGACTTCGGGATTCAGTATATAAACCTGAAAGCTGTGTTGACATCGATATGATATGCAGTATCGACCAAGTGTGACAGGTTCGAGGTTTTCATGCACTGAATTTCCCCTTTGCTGAACCAAGCTGGTAAATGT